ATAATAATAATAATAATAATAATAATAATAATAATAATAATAATAATAATAATAATAATAATAATAATAATAATAATAATAATAATAATAATAATAATAATAATAATAATAATAATAATAATAATAATAATAATAATAATAATAATAATAATAATAATAATAATAATAATAATAATAATAATAATAATAATAATAATAATAATAATAATAATAATAATAATAATAATAATAATAATAATAATAATAATAATAATAATAATAATAATAATAATAATAATAATAATAATAATAATAATATAATAATAATAATAATAATAATAATAATAATAATAATAATAATAATAATAATAATAATAATAATAATAATAATAATAATAATAATAATAATAATAATAATAATAATAATAATAATAATAATAATAATAAAATAATAATAATAATAATAATAATAATAATAATAATAATAATAATAATAATAATAATAATAATAATAATAATAATAATAATAATAATAATATAATAATAATAATAATAATAATAATAATATAATAATAATAATAATAATAATAATAATAATAATAATAATAATAATATAATAATAATAATAATAATAATAATAATAATAATAATAATAATAATATAATAATAATAATAATAATAATAATAATAATAATAATAATAATAATAATAATAATAATAATAATAATAATAATAATAATAATATAATAATAATAATAATAATAATAATAATAATAATAATAAGAATATAATAATAATAATAATAATAATAATAATAATAATAATAATAATAATAATAATAATAATAAAATAGCTCATTTAAAGCAGTAATTCCATATTAAATAAAAAAAATATGTAGGACATTGATCAGGTGATATCTACTTCTCATATTCTTTATATATCACTTTTCTGAAATTGGAAAAATACATAGTACACATAATTAAAGAAATATGTTTCTTACTCCCATTTCGTTTTAAGATCTCCACAAGTCTTTATTGGAAAATATATATAATTTTAAGATCTATTCCCTTATTCTTATTCAATTATATCTACGATTACATGTAAGAGAGAATGTAAATTTATGTGAAATAATATTAAATAGGTTATAATATTTACTTATTCTCATATTAAATTGGAACATAACCTTATTTCTGCATGACAGTCTCAATAACTTTTAAAATAATATTTTCAAAAGCATTATATAAGAAAAAAATCAACAATTCAAGGATTTTATTGGATTTTCATAAAAGTACTTTGATTTCGACGGCTAAACTTGATTTCCTATGACCAGATTTACCGTCGTTTTTTAAATTAAGAAAGAAGCCGGGTGTATTCATGAAATATTCTTCCACATCTTGTTAGTACGTTGTAAATAAATTTCGAAAACAGAATGAACGTAGTATTCTAGTATTTCCAAAGCTGTTTCATTGTATTTCTCGTAGTTATATTCCGCAACATGAAGGCTATACGCGAAATGCAGAAGACAAAAGTGGTAGGATCAATTGTCGTCCACATCCGTAAATATGAATGAGTCAATAATGGCCGAGACTTTCTATACCTCCTGGCTTTTTACAAAATACTTTCTTCATATTGCACACTTTACAACGTCCTTCCCCAATGCTGGCCAACGATTCTTGCCAAAATTGAGATCAATAGTAAGCTAAAAGATTTGTAAAGAGCTAGCCCATCAACATTTATATCAAAGTAATTGATAATATTGTTTTCAATTCACTTTTAAACTTTTCGACTGATTATTTAAACCTTTGTGAATATATGAACCTGGGGAAACAGTTCTATCGACACAATTTTGATTATTTATAAAACACTATCCATAAGGACTAACACTATCATTAAGATCTGGATTATGTGAATTGATAGATTTTATGATATTTTAAATAGATTAAAACTGGAATGTGTTCCCAGTGTTAGAGTTAAAAATGTCCATGAATAACGACTGAGTTAAAAATTCAGGCTTAACTATAGACTATACCAATTACACTGTTGCTAGGCCTTCATATACCTTAGATTGTCGTAGATCTTTACTTCGACAAGATTAAAAATAATTTTAAATCCAAACCTAAATCTTTTTATCATTTCAATAACCTAAAACGATAGGTATTGAAATGTTACAATAAGTATTGAAATGTTATAATAAGGAATTTGTCACAGGCACATATATTTTGAATTTTTCGCAGATTTTTTTGCCACAACCTATTCCAAATACAAACTGCAAAATCAAAGATTCCTATCCATATAAGTTGTCACAGAACGATCAAAATTGTATGCCTTTCTTATAACGTCAAGAAGTATCCAATAGTTTGTGTAGTTTAAAATCGTTTATATGTCCAGTTCCGGATGGCATACCTAATATTATTCTTAAGTATTGTTCAGACATATTAGCACTCCCTTAAACTATATTGTTTATTTTTTTCCTTATTCTTATTATATATACATAAAAATACAATTCGCCTCAGCGCCTAGTTGGCTTTTGGAGGCTAGCTGGCAATATTATACCAGTTATTAATTCTTCAATATAAACATAACTTCTTTAGATATAAATTTTCTATATCTGTTTATACATAAACAACAAAATCTAATTATGTCTTACGATGACAGAAGTATTTCTATATTACTAATCACTATTGTCTCATCTCCCGTTTAAACGTTGAAAGGTCACATAACTGCTTTAAGAAAATGGGAAATAAATTATTGCTTACATAGGACATTGTATTTCTTGATGTATAAATCATTGGTAAATATGTCAAATGAGAATGAACCAATGACTGATAGAGCATAATTTTTGATTCAATACTAAGCTTGTTTTTAAATTTGTATAAAATGACAACACCAGATGATGTCTTAGACTCTGAGTTGCAAATGTGTTTCTCCCATGACAAATTTTGACTTATATATGCCAAGGTAATTTATGACCTCAGATTCAAAAATTTCATGACCGTCTACATGAACACTAAAAACGTCATCATTATTTAAGGCATATGATCGGAAACGCACCAATTTTGTTTTAGGAGGATTCAATATTAGTCGGTTAACTCTTAAATATTCACAAAAGCATCTTTTTCTATTTGTCTTTTCAATACCCTAGAACTGCTATATTCGTAAATAAGACAAATATCATCTGCAAACAAGAACAATTTTAAGAAAAAAGTCATTCATGTACATTTTAAACAATAAAGGCCCAAGAATACTTCCCTGTGGAACTCCGCATGTTACAGATAGTATGTCACTAATAGCATCCCCTATTTGAACACACTGCTTCCAGTTATGTAAATAATTTTCCAAGAGTAAGCACGTACTAGAAGAAAATCGTTCGAGTTCTACCAAATCGAATGCACTGGTAAGATCAAAAAACATTCCTGCCACCCCTTTATAGCCTATTATTTTCAATGGAATTTACAGTTATCATTTCATTTATTTTGCTAAAAACGCAATCAATACGGAATCTTCCAACCGGGCGTGTAACCAAATTATGACAAGATACTATGTTTACAGATGTAAAATTGTCAAGAAGACAATTTCTCCGATTATTTAAACAAAGTAAGTTAATGTTCAAATCTCCCATAAATAAGCAGGGAGAGTTATTAACTCCCAATAGAAGGGATTCCAATTTAGAAATGAACTTGTAAAATGAACACTTTTGCAACCTGTGTACAGAGTATATAATAAGTGGTTTGTTGTTGATTAGTGTTATTCGGCAAACAAAACATCATGACATCAACAAAATCATGACTCTGATTATTTATTATTCCATATTTTATGTCTTCCCTTATATACACGGTTGTCCCACCATATTCATCATCTCTACAACAATTAATTAAAGAAAATCCTTCTATACGATACAATTTTATATTTCCTTCATTAAACCAGGTTTCCTGCACAGCTATAATTGCTAGAATACATTTTAACTTCAAAACCATTCCCCTAAACTCATTAAATTTGTCTATTGACGAAGTACTTCTGACATTCAAAGACAGGATATTTAAAAAATTACTATCTTCTTCATCATTCTTCAATGAAAAATATATTAAATTGATTGATATTATAAAAATAATTAAAACTCATCAAAAATTAAATAAAAAATTGAACAATTTGAACAATTAACAACAATTTTATTTAATTAGGTGAAGCAAAAGCATCTTCATCCTCTTCTTCGTATTCATCACCAGTATTAATTTCATCTTCATTGGTATCGATTCTTCGTTGACAAGGAGACATTCTAATTCGTCTGCATAAAATATTGTCAAAATCTTTTGCATCATTCACACGTCCCAGTCAGCATTTTTTGACATTTTAATCATATTCGAGTCTTTTTTGATCCGGTTGCGCGATTAAAAAGCTGGAATATGAGCGCATTTTCTGATCATAAAAGACTCAGTTGTCGGGAGAAAAACGTGACCTCCTGCGACTCTTCTAAATAAAGCACATATGAGTCTGCCTCTAGATTAGTTAAGTCTTTTTCGACCATTTTCTGATCGTTCTACGAGTCTTTTTCGAGTCGTTTTCTAATCATTTATTGCGCTAAAACGCTTAATCTTTTTCGATCTTAAATTAATCTTTTTCGAGTCTTTCTTAAGTCATTTTTTGATCATTTATGTGTCTTAAGTCAGTAATTTATTAGTCTTTTAAGTGTCATATATCACTCATATGTATATTCATTTAGGAGTCTTTTATGAGTCCCCTTTGTCTTAAATTCGAGTCATTTATGAGTCTTATATGTTTACGATTCTACGAATCACGTACGTGATTTCTATATATTCGGATGTACCGTAAAAAAGAATTTAATTATATATGTTCATACAAAAATTTATTTAAAATAAAAATAATTCAGCTTTTATGATTATAATTTGTACTGTAATATCAATAAATGCGATTGTAAAAAATATAGTAAAAAATTAAATAAGAAAATGAAAAAAAAATTAAAAAAATGAAAAATCAAAAAATAAGAAAACAGGAACTGCAATTGGGCCGTTTTCTATTTGTAACGCGGTCTCTAGCGTGAACAAAATGTTTTTGTAGGATTGTGTTAATATCCTTGTCGTTACTTGAGTATTTGAGATGACACATATCTGAAATAAAATATGTACAAGTCTGTCCATTTTACTAATACGTGTTAAAAAGACAAACTTACTTTTGATTACTGTAAATAAATAACACTTTTCTGCACTCAGATTTACCCTGTCCCCTTCCAGCTGTATTGGCAGGCTAATTTATCGGTTTTTGCAATAAACTCTTTCTGGAAATAGATTATCAAAAAAATATATAAGTATTAATAGTTTATAAAGTAGTGAATTAATCAATCAAATGCCCAATTTTCTATACTTACAAATCAAGTTCTGTCTCATTTTGCTTCACCAATTCACGTTTCTGGCAATTTTCTTCATTTTTCTCATATTCAGTTTACGTCTTTTGTGCCTCTTTTTGCCATCGTTTTTATTTTAGCCTTTTCTATTTTTGTAATTTAACTTGCTGACATTTTCTTTATAAAAATTAATAAATAAACAAAGAGATAAACGTACACATTTTCATATTTTTTTCACTTTTGCTGTTGACGCCTCCATGCACTTTTTATAAATGAACAGTAATTCAACTTTTTGATAGTCAGTCAACAAACAAAATGGCCCTTGCATAACAAAACAAGCAGTATTTATGCACTTATCTGTGCAATATATGATCAAAAATGACACAATTTTGATCACTTTTCAAACAGCTGCCAGATCCTTTTAAGACTAATCATTTTTCATTCTCTAGATGATCGCAATTCGATAATAAATAACGGAAAAATTGTCACATTTTGCACATCTCAATGATTGATTTGCGATTCCCCTACATTTTGTTGTTGTATATTATACTGATCTCTTTTCACTCATTAGAGAGAGTCATTTTCGAGTCTCTTTTCGATCATACAAGTCAGTTAATCATTTTTTGGTCACCAAAAGGACTCGAAGAAGACTCACCAAAGTGATTTTTTCAAAAACAATCTTCCAAATGCTAGCTGGGGTATTGCCTTTGCATTATCATCTCATCTCACAAAACACTTCCATGTTTCACAAAAATATGTTTGTATCCGGCAGCTCTCAACGATTTCGTATAACTGAATAGATGCGAAGATTCTCTGCTTAAAAAATCGTTCACATAGACTCCTTTTAACATATCAAACTGTTTTAGTTCGGGTTTCTCATCCATCAGTTAATTTTAGATTTAGAATTAGCAAACTTTACGATAAGAGATGTTTTTTTTTGTCTCTTTTCCTCCTTTGTCTACATAAAATACTTGGTCTATGTCATCTTTTTTAATATTTGCGACCATTTTATGGCAATTTCTAAACACATATCAAAAGCGTCATAGTCATTCTTTAAACGACTGTCATTTAAAAAATTCACAGATAACTTAACTCCTTCACTTCAAAGCACCACTTAATTGTTTTTGTTTTGAACTACTGTATTCATAATTTCATCACACTGAGATGGCAAATAGCAGAGGATTGGCCAAATTAGGAGCCCTTCTAAAATTGTTTGAAAACTTATTTACTGCATTAATTTCACTCAAAATTCAACCTTTATTGAGTCCATATCAGCATGGTTTTCGTAGTGGCCTCTTAACTATAACAAATCTTATACAATTTATGTCAACAGTGATGAAAGGATTTGTTCAGTGTAATCAAACTGACACAATATTCACTGATTTTAGTAAAGCTTTTGATAGGGTTCGGCACAAACTTAGTCAAATGGATATCATCTTCCTTAAAATATAGATCACAACTAGTTTTGTTTGAAGGATATCTATCTAAATCGATTAGCGTCCCATCGGGAGTTTCAAAAAGAAGTCACATTGAGCCGCTTTTCTTTCCTTTATTTATTAGGAATTTACCTAATTCCATAAATTATTCGAAATTGTTAATGTATCCAAAGATGTTAAGTTATTCAGTTCCCATAACTGTGAGAAACTGGCTAATTACCTCAAAATGATTTAGATAGCCTTTTTCAATGGTGTAGGTTAAATTGGATGTGAGAAACTGGCTAATTACCTCAAAATGATTTAGATAGCCTTTTTCAATGGTGTAGGTTAAATTGGACGGATTTAAATGTAAGCAAACGTAAACATATGTGTTTCCCCAGATATTCTTCTCTGATACTGGAATATAATATTGACTGTCATTCACTGTCATTCGATCTTGGCCTCTTGATGGATCCAAAATTAAATTTTAAAATTCCATTTAATAACAATGGCAAATAAAGCAAATGGTGTTCTAGGTTTTATATAACGGTGGGCCAAAGATTTTTCTGATCCATATATTACAAAACAGTTATTTACGTCTCTTGCTAGATCTATATAAGAATATAGTTCAGTTGTATGGGATCCACAATATGCAATATACTCAGATACAATAGAATCAGTTCAAAAACAAATTCTGCCATTTGCCTTACTAGCAGGCAAAAATTAATTAGAAATTAGTTGAACTGCATGTTGCCACAAAAAATAGTATTGGCATGAGTTTAGATGTTATTAAATCTAGAATATTTTTTTTTAACAATTAAAATACATATGTTTTATTGTTAGACAGATTAGCGGATGAATCAGATTTTGTAGCTGGTTTTCAATTTCCTACTCAATTCCCATTATGATGCGGATCATGGTGTGTACGCAATAAAGGCCAGCACAAGACGAGTTGTATGAATTATGCTTTTTTCGACAAACTGACTATGTCAATTCAATCATGTGCTATGTATTTGATAGGCAATAACAACCAACAACATCCCCCATTTTGATTCATGTGTGTCATTGTCTAAGGTTCGATCGTGGCATGGCTGACTCGAATATTTGCATGGTGTTTTCTATCAATGGAGGGTGTCGACGTTGTCATCAAATTTGACGATGACACGAAATTGTGTGTCATTTGTGTACGTGTGCTTAAATTGAGAGAGAGTGTGTGTGTGTTACTTTCCACGGTGAGGATATGTTTTTGCGTGTGCTGTAATTTTGAAGTAACAAATACCGCGTAAATATAAAATTGAATACCAAACCAATAATTTAAAAATATTCTTATTATTATTAGATGAGGGCAGATATGACTCTCATTCAATAACAAATAGAAAGTACATGATTAACAAAATATGCATAGACATCAACAAATGAATAGAAAAAAATGGAAAATATACTGGACAATACCAATTTATTGTTTACGTGAATTAAAGTAGCACTCATTTTCATTTACACCTCAGTACTAGAGACAAAAATGTATGAAATTATAATCAAAATAAGAAAAACCAAACCGTGTTTTTATTAAGAAAAATTGTCAGGGGATTATTGTTTTTAATAAGGATTGATATTTTGGATTGTTTCGTCAATAACCACGAAATGTGAAAATTTTGAGTGAACCAATTGGAAGTACCTGAAATATGTAAGTAATCCCAAGAAATATTTTAGTTGTTTTCCAGTACTTTTTTAGTAGTAAAACTAGCAGAAAAGAGAATAGTACGAAATGCCATTCTCATTTAGATGTGCTCAAAAAATAAGGGAACGGAAAATTAGCAGAAATGCGATAAAATGTCAACATTCAAAATTCCAAAAGAAAACAGTCTAGATCGGACTGGTGAAACCTTACTGAAATGGACGCCAAAAATTAAAAAATGAGTATTGAAAATAAGTTAACGTCGCTTATCAACCTTTGTTGACACTAGACTTTTTCGCGCTGGTCGCTTTTTTTCACAAACAAACACAACAACAACAAATCAACACAAAGTCAAAACACAAACAAACCTCCATTTTTTTTTCTTTTATCTTGGTTAAAAACAATTTTTGCGAAATTTTTGCCAATTTTTTTATTTCCTCCACCTATTGGGGATACCAATAAAAGAAGAGCCAAAAACATTGAAAACGATAATAAAAGTTTTAAAAACAATAATGGCCATCCAATAAAAACACCAACACCAATAAAATTTCATCCCAAACCACGGACAAAATGGGCACCGAATACAATTACAATTCGCTAAATGATGGAAATGTACTGTATACACCAAACCATCCAGGGCCATTTTATGTCATAGTGTCGTCAGAAACGCCAATCAGCTCTAGGAGGAAAAACTGCGAACTCCATTTGTATATACGTCTAAAGCAAATCAATCTCACTAACTATGCTTGCAAGTGTGTGGGATATAACACTTTTAGAATGACGTTCAACAATTTTGAATCTGCCAACTTATTTGCCACAAATCCCAATTTAAAAAACTGTTGGATTAAAAGCATACATCCCAGAGAGATTTGTTCAACGTTTTTATATTATCAAAAATGTACCTACGTGCCTTTCTGCAGATATTATAAAGAAAGAAATTATGCAAAACAATGAGTGTGTGGAAGTAGTCTTAATTTATCGCTTTACTAGGAAAAATGATTCTGGTTTAATCGTACCCACAGAAACGATAAAGATTGGTATTATTTTTGATGGAATTCCTACGAAAATATATATGTGTGGAAAAAAAATAACACTGGACTTGTATGTACCACCTGTTCGGCTGTGTTTAAACTGCGGCCGTTTAGGCCACATTGCTCTTCGTTGCAGGTCGACGAAGAAGTGTCTAAACTGTGGAAAAGATATTCTATGTGCTACAAATTGCAGTAAGGAAAATAGATGTTTAGATTGTCGTTCTACAACAACCTGTAAAGAACTATGCATGTCTCCAAGATGCATACTTTGCAACAAAATAGATCATTTTGCAACAGATTCCAAAAAGTGTTTGAAGTGGAAGTCTGAAAGAAATATAAGCAGCATTATGGCGCTAACAAACCTATCTAGAAGGGAGATTCTCCAAAATTATCCAGAGAGAAGAAATCGTTTCCACATTCTTTCTGAACGTGATTTTAATAATGAGTTCCCGCCTCTCTTAACAAACAGGACTCCAAAAATTAATATACATGATGCAGTTAACAAAAAAATTACAAGTATTAAATATAGCAAAGTTGCGGCTCCAATAACGAAAAATCAACATGCCATTGCAAGCCCAATCCATGTAAATCCAACCAAAGCAGTATTTGATCATCAAAATTTTTCTAAAGTGACAGAAATAGAAAGAGCATTAGCATCATTTTCAAGGCAAATGTCCACAATACTAACGTCTCTTAACTGCACAGAAGGTCTTGATGTTTTAAAGAAATTTCAACAAATAGTCATTCCAGTATCAGCAAACAACCAAAGCCCATATCCATCAGAAGCAAATGAAGAAAGCCAATTAGTAACATCCTGAAAAAGATAAAGTGTGATTATTCTGAAATAACTGCAAATAAATAATAACAATTTGTTTAATTATCCATGAACATCTTACAATACAATATACAAAGTCTTAAAAAAAAAACAAAAACTCTCTGGACTTCCATTTAAGAAAACTTAACATCGATATATGCTTCCTGAGTGAAATTTTCAATATAGATGAAAAACAAAATTCAACAACTTTTCAAAATTATAATATAGTTTCAAAAAAGAGAAAAGATAATTATGGTGGCGTCGCGATAATTTTAAAGAAAAATATTCAGTTTAAAAGAATCTCTTTTCAATCAACACTTGACATACTAATTTGTCAAACCACTAATTTAAACAATAACCTCACTTTAGTGGATGTCTATTTCCCACATTCCGTAAAAAGTATAACCATTAAAAATTAACTTGAAAAAATAACATCCTTCCTCTACTCTAATCTAGTCCAAATACATTTATCTGTGGCGATTTTAATGCTAGACATTCGGCCTTTGGTGATTTTTTTGATTCGCAACGTGGAAAAATGCTTAAAGAATTTTTTGATTATTCAAACTTTCGATGTTTAAATGATGGAAGTTACACTTTTAAAAACGAATCAATGACAATACGGGATCTGTTTTGGATCTATCATTTACCAACTCAACTCTGTCACTATCTTGGAAAGTTCAAAAAACAATAATTGAAGGAAGTCACCATCTCCCAATAATTCTGAAATTAAGCGATACTATTTGCAACGCCAAAAATGTTCTTAGCGAAAAAAAGCTCATAAGAAATCTTGCAATATTAAAATTGAATCCGGACTTCGAGGAAATCAACTTCGCCATGCATGCTGAAATCAAAAAAGCTATGTATGTTATTGATAACAAAAGAAATCCAAAACCTTGGTGGGACCCTTTTGTCGAAAAAAATTTAGATTGCAAGTAGCCGCGCAAAAGAAATATGATTTGCATAGCCATTAAACATTTTAAAAACGCCACAAAATATGCAAAACGACAATCTTTTAAATCAAAAATTACAACTTTAAATATGGAGCCTAACTCAAAATCATTATTTCGTCTGGTAAAAGGATGTAAAAACAGTTTGTCATGCA